TCACATCAGTACGCATATCCATGAGTGTGTGTCCACCCCTGGACAAAGGGTTTCTTACCGCCAATTTTCCACCCCAGTTCTACAGGCAGGGGAGTGGTGCGCGGTCTTGGAGTCACCACTCAACGAAGACACTCCTTGCACCGCGGTGAAATCCAGAAGGGACGCCTTCCGGACGTACCTGCGCCAGTTCCGACCAAGCTGTGACTCCAATCTTTCTTTGTTTGATTCCATGGTCCTTGCGTGATAGACCCCAAAACCTTCTCCCACCGCAGGCTTGCAGCAGACTTGCAACCACACTGACTGTCAGAGTGCAAACATTGTTCAACCATACAGTTCTGTCAGAGTGCAAACATTGTTCAACCATACAGTTCTTGCCGACTTTTCCGCCATGCCGTTCCATCACCTTCCTTCCCAACGTGGGAACTGAGTGTAACTGAAAGCCAATGTCAGAGTGTGTTTCGCTCAGCCGTCCCACTCGGGTGCTGAGTGTGATCCCCGTCACAGGGGCGCTGTTTTTGCATAGGAAATCATCCACCCCAACTTACCACCTGCCACTGGATTTCCACTGGAAGTCATTGACACATCCTTCGAATCAACTGATGCATTGGCCGCCGGGCCCAAACACGGCAGCTTTTCCTCCACTGAATTTTTGTCGAGTCTTGCAAGGGTTTTGCATGATTTTGCATGTAGTGGCTTTTTGACGTGTGCCATGACTTTTCCGCCAGAAGAACTCAAGCCCGCATACCGGAGTTCTCAAATCTAATTCGAGATGCATGACCACACCCTACAACATTTCTACATTTTACATCAAGCTCACCTTCGCAGCCTACTTACAAGCTGCTGTCGCCGAGCTAGTGAGGCCCTATGTCCAAAAAGGACACAACCACCACGCCTGCCACCGGTTTTTGAAAAACAGCGCCGAAGACGGCGACCTGTGTGTGTCCACCCCTGGACAAAGGGTTTCTTACCGCCAATTTTCCACCCCAGTTCTACAGGCAGGGGAGTGGTGCGCGGTCTTGGAGTCACCACTCAACGAAGACACTCCTTGCACCGCGGTGAAATCCAGAAGGGACGCCTTCCGGACGTACCTGCGCCAGTTCCGACCAAGCTGTGACTCCAATCTTTCTTTGTTTGATTCCATGGTCCTTGCATGATAGACCCCAAAACTTTCTCCCACCGCAGGCTTGCAGCAGACTTGCAACCACACTGACTGTCAGAGTGCAAACATTGTTCAACCATACAGTTCTTGCCGACTTTTCGCCATGCCGTTCCATCACCTTCCTTCCCAACGTGGGAACTGAGTGTAACTGAAAACCAATGTCAGAGTGTGTGTTTATTCTTAATTCATTTTGCATAAGCCATAAACAGCTGTATTTTTTGTTGCAGAGACCCTCGCTTCATTCCCCGTAATCGAGTTTTGACTTGCTGAATCCTCTTTCATCGTGTGCTGTTGATTCGGATGGCTTGGCTATTTCCCTGGACCGATCCTGCAACTATTCTAGGGTTTTGTTACTACCAGTAACTAGTAAGGCACTTGTTAGTAGAAGCGATGCACTTGCTCCTAGTAGCTTATTGTTTCTAATAGCTTTTATATTCACCAGGATAATTTTCTCCAGCCATGTCTCTGGACATCAAGTGAGTTTGGCACCTTCCTGCCAGGCCCTCTGAGCGCGTGGAGCGCTCTCAGGTCGAGAGCCCGAAGGCCGGCGTGGACTTTATGGATGTGGCTCAAGAAGATTTTAGACTATGACTAAGAGACCAAGAGTTGCGGGTCCATTTTACTTTTACCCTTTTATCCAATGGATTTAGAGTTTTGGTCTTGTGATTTTCCTTGCCCAAATGATCCAATAGAGTCTAATCACGTCGTGTGATCTAAGCTGCCTGGGGATAGTCTGTGTGTCAAGAATCGGAGGAGCAACAAGATCCCACTCAGGAGGCGGTGAATCCTCATCAAAGCCTGTCCTTTGTGGACCTCACCCTGGAGGTTGGGGGGGATGACCGGAGGAACGGCTGGTGAGACGCAAGCAAACAAAGCCAAGGTTCTATGCAAACTATTCAAGGGCCATTTTGGAGTAGCAAGATCGCCAGCAGCCAACTCAGCCAACCACTGCGTGATATTGGATGCATTCTTGCGCCAAGCTTCCATGCAACATTAGGGCAGTCAAGGGTAGTTTATGGAGAGTGCGGATTGAGATTCGCTGACGCAGGATATTCATGCCGCCATTATCGCAGATGCTTGGCGCGAAAATTCAGTGACAAATTGACAAGGAAACCCTGCCCCATTCAACAAGCACACCACCTTCTAGAAGGAAGATAACATACAGAGGGTGGACCTGTGATATGCTGAGCCAGCCACGTCTATGTTTGGGCAAAGCTTGTTTTGTTGCCGCGCCGCTTCCATGCTGCCAAAGTTTTTCAATTTTCTCAATATCTTGCCATCGCAAGATGTATATCCTCAAACATGCGGTGCCTGTTTCAAACCCTTTTCTGCTTTGAGTTTGCTGGTGCTCAGGAAGATCCCAATTGGAACTTCCAGTTGGATTTTTGGCAGGAGCGCTGGTTCGTTTCCAAGGGTCATCGCCTTTTGGACGTGTGTGTTACCTCGCTCTGAGTTGCCAAAGCGCACCACCACATGTTGAACTCAAGGACCGGTGCAGAGCCCAGACCGGTCACTTCGGGACCGTGTTCCGCCGTTGTTCACAGGCCGTGCTTCTGGGCGCCGCGGCGCCAGAGTTCCGCTGCATGCAGAACCGGACGCTGGGCTTTTGGGCCAAGCCGGGAAGCTTGGTCATCCGATGGAGCTCCATGGGAAAGACAATCCAGAGACGACCATGAGTCGCGAGCAGTTCATAGTGTGTGTGATTTGCTTTAATTGAAATCTCTGTTCGCAAGGCTTCTTTTGCTACGGAAGAGTCGGGTGGCACACAGTTACACAAGTCATGATTGCTCCATTGTGATGCATTTTCATGCGCTGGACATTCCCAAACGTCCTAAACTGATCAACAGTTGTGATTGTGGACATGTACATATTGACTCAATGTATTTCCCATGACTAAGATCAACTCATACGCACGATGTGACCTCGTGCACTTGAAGGATTGGAAGACTTTCAACGCTTTGCGCCTGAGGTCCTTTCAGCGATGGCAGCTCTTGAGAAAGCAGCAGGAGCTGCAGGTTTAGGGGTGGTTTTGCTGTGCTGAAACCCCTGGACACGCTACTGGTTTTCCAAAAGGAGGACTCCTTGCCCCCAACCTACTGGCAATGGCCTCCAATCTACTAGCGAAGGCCTCCAACCCAGTAGACCAATTGGATGACTGTGTCCCACAACCCTGATCCTTGCTTCACTCCCTTTACTTGGAACTGACGCATCCAGCAAACAGTTCCTCAATCATGCAGAACTTGTCATGTCAAGCAGGCGTCAGCGACATCACGGGCTCCAAGAGAAGCTTCATACAAGACAGTGCATAGATTAGAAGTGCAGCAGACCAACTCTACCATGTGTGTTTGTGTGTGCAGGCTCAGAATCAGTGTATGTGTACAATAAAGCTCAACACTGGCGAGATTTGGAGGCCATCGCTAGTAGGGTGGAGGCCATTGCTATTGTTCCACCTTTCTCACTCATGAAGTGCTCCCCACCCGAGTTGACAGGAGATGTCTGACCGCTGCACAGTGGGGCAGTTCCTTGGCTCTTTGGAGTGACTGTGGCACAGCAGCTGGTGTAGAGGTTGAACTGAAGGGGATTAACCTGCCCACGCGACTCAGCCAACAAAGTCACTCAGAACTCTCCCATGCCTCACCTCCACCCCAAAGACCCTGTTCGAGACAGGTGACAACCCATCTTTGCGCAGGTTGGAGAAGGTCTTTCAGGGCTTCGCCCGACCACGGTGCTTGGAGCCTGGAGCTCAGTGGTGAAGTGAGTGAGACATCCTTGCTTCGTCCCCCATCCTTCCAGCTTCAAGTAAGTGATGTCACGCGAGGGGCTTTGGCACAAGCCTGATGATGTTTGATCTACGTACCTGTGGAAGAGTCTGCCCTATCGCAGCCTGCGTGGATTGAAAGCTCACCGCAGCTCGCTGCGGTCGCAAGACCGGGTCGCGGTCGTCGCGTTCCTCGCGTGCGGATTCCCCGCTGTCCGAGGTTAGGAAAACTCTTCGGTGGCCTGAGATCTTTGCGACTGAGATGTGATGAACAGTTCTGATTTTGATTCTGCTCGTAGCAGTCCTTTGGAACTGGGCTGGGAGCAACATGTCTTCCTCGTTTTTGGCGTTCGTGGGAAGCGGGAAGCACCTCCATGAAGGAGCACCGATGATTGCAAGTGTATGCTGCGCCCTACTCATCGCTCATGATGCCAGTATGCAAAGTCACCAAGAGATTGAGGGACACAGTATCACCATGCATCACCGAAATCTGGTTTGATTTGGTCTCACATCCAAACTGCAACCTTTTTCTGACCAGATGAGGTCAGGAGTATCTTTTGAGAAGACTTCGGTCTCCTTGGCCGAGATCTTCACTGCCGGTGTGCTGATGTCTGAGATCATCTCCAGCACCAACAAGCTCCGCTTTGTCTCTCGGACTGTGGAAAGTGGAAGAGGCTTCAAAAAGCGGACAGGTATGCAGTACTGTATTCTTTTTGAGAAATTTAGACTGTACCGTAGAATCCTCCTCCAAATACTTCATACATCCACAGATCGAGACAGCCGCCTACCTTTGGACCCGCCTACTTGACCGGCTTAGACGGCCCAAAAGGTGTGCACCGGTGCCATTCGGATGCTGCGCTCAGGTGTTTGGCATGGTTGATACGCAGGGAAGGAATAGCCTCAGTCAGAAGGACGGGTGAGTTGATGGGCCAAAGAAGCTACTAGGGGCTCCTGGCATCACCACTAGGAGCCAGTAACAAGAAGCCATTAGTAACAAAAAGCACACACACACATTGAAAGACTTGCTCTTCCAAGACTGCCCTAGTGAATTGCAGTTGACGCAGAACAACTTATCAGCAATGGCATGTAGCAAGCTCTCGCAAGCTGACCTGTTGGGCACAATCTTTGTTCTTTGCCATACCCCAGTTGCAATTCGCTATTCCGCCGACCCCAGTCCAGGAGTTCGGCACCTTTGTGCAAAACTTCATCCACGGGCTAAGTTGTGCCTTCGGACTCTGCATGCCCAGCGCGGGCAAGGCGCAGGGTTTTTCCCTTGCATAATGATGATTGTTGCAAAAGAACCGGAGACTGAATCCAACCAGAATTACACGGAAAAGAAGGTGCCGTTTCATCGAGTCCACGTTGAAGTATTCTTTCCTCTGAGGGTTTTATGAACATTGCATCGCACTCTGATGCAGGAAGAGCAGAAAGCCGTGCCCACTCGCGGCAGTTGGAGTAGCCTTTTGCTGCAAAGGAGGCATTCCTCTGCGTGGTCGAACTGTGACGAGGAGCATCGAACCAGGCCTGGCAGAGCCATTCCAGATGGGTAGAGACCAAGTTTCAACAGTTTTAGAGCATGGGGGGTGATTGAAAGAGTTGTTGCACATGCTGTCACATGCTTCTATGTCGATAGCAGAAGCAAGCCTCTGACATGCTCTGACACTTGTGCGGCAAGGATAGAGCGTATAGGGCTTTACACAGACAGCACTACACAACAACTGAGCCGTTGCAAGATCTGCTCCTCAGCCAGAGGTACGCGCAGGTGCCAAAGCCGGAGGCCATCCACCTGATCGCCCAACGCCTCTACACCAGGAGGGATCTCTTTTGTAGCTCAAACACTGTATATGGGTTCAAGGACATTTTAGGACCGCAGATGTGAAATCGATTTCAATATTGCATCAACCACCGATTTTCCATCGATGTTCCTCAACAACCCAGCAAATCAACGTGGACAACATTGGAGTCAAGCTTCTTCAACCTGAACAAATCAAAGGAGGACAGCTCAGTCCTCAGTGGTATGTCAAAAAGATGCTTATAATTAGGAGCCATAGGAGTCTCATCAGAATCCGGTAGTTGACTCTAAAACATTGCGACATCCGAAGGATCAGCCGGAAGGTGGCCCGCACCATTGTGAAGCTGTGCCTTGAAAGCTTGTCATTCACCGCCGTGACGCTGCCAAGGGTGTTTCCTTTGCTGAATGAGCCGGATGGAATTGGGCTATATTACTTTATTTATATGACATTCAGCATGCGAAAGGCCTTAGCCACATGACCGAAGCTGGGCCCAGCTTTGAAAGGCTTTGTTTGGACGTCCGGCAAAGTTAAGCCTCCGCCTCGAAACCACCACAGATGTGTTTGGCGGCGGCACTTCGAAGCACATGACCACTGGGTAATCTCCCGTTTCTTATCATGTGACCTCTTGCAAAGACACTGTGTTTGAGAATCTTGAAGATATGAATAGAGTGTTGTGATCAGGGATGATGAGGGGGTACTTGTGTAGGGTTCAGTCAAGCCAAGTTCTGAGTTTCCAGCAAACTGCGAGGCACAGCAGCTTGCAGAACGATGTGGACAGGCCGGCTCATCAGAATGTTCCCAGAGGACCTCGGCTGTGACTCGGACCTACATGTCCTGAGAACCAGGTACTGGTAGAATCCGGATATTGTGTTGGTAAGGTTTGGAGCCACAGCGACAGCATTTTATTGCCACTGAGCACAGCTTTCTCAACTATTTCCAGAGGCTCGCCATGGCTAGCCATAGTCCCTTATCACAACTTGAAGCCCACCCTGCACCACCTGTTGTAGACAATTCTGCAACACCCTGGGGTCGTACGGTAGCAACTTTTCAAACCACCACAATCACAACAGCATAATGCCCTTTTCCTGAATTAAAGGACGCATTGAGTGTTTCATTTGTTGTGTGCAACGAAATGATCATACCTGGGGCACACCTGTTTCTTTGTGCCGATGTCGTCAGGGCAGCCGTGGTGGCTGCAATCAAGGCTCGTCAAGCGCCAGGATCTCGGTGGCGCAAGTGCTTGGAAGCTCTTGGAAGCAAGAGCCTCCATCAATCTCGAAGGTTTGCAGCTTTCACATTTCCAAAATTGATTGAACTGACACACTTAGATGACTTTTGATGGGTTGGATGTTGTATAACCGACAAATATAGGTACAGGAAGGGGATGGGCTTGGCGTGTCCCTTTACCGAAGCAGCCGAGTGGTCGAGTGAGCAAACGCAGAATAAGCTTGTTCACCTGGCACCAGGGGACATCCAAGGCAATTGATGGTTTAGAGACACCGAACAGTTGGGTGGAGGCCATCGCAAGTAGGTTGGAGGCCATTGCTATTAGGCTGAGTCAGCTTATTTTGTGTATATATATATATATTTGTTTTTTGTTATACATGTTTTATCTCTCTTTGTATCTAAGCACCTTGCTGTGTTGGCATCCTCTTGACTCAACTATGTTGGCGCCAAGGTCGAGCGAGCATCCTGCAGCCACCGGCCAGCAAGAACAGCGCTTGCCCTTTCCAGTGCTGTTAGACTGGTGTTTTCGCTTGGTCCAGGCAGGGTCAAGGATTTGGTGTACGGGCCTGTGAGCCTTCCTGCATGATTCAGCTGTAGCTGTAGCAGATTTCGTGCGAAGAGTTAGAGGAAAGATGCGCCATGTATTGATAAGATACATTCGAGAACGGGCCTAAGGCTACAACAAACTGTAAGCGCTTCTGCCCCAGGATCCACTGGCCATCCCCTATGCTTTGGCCATCGAGCGCTTTTGTCCCCGGGAAACGAGTGCAGACGACAATCCTGAGAACTTTGAGGTGAGCTGAACGGGTCGAGAAGTGATGGATGGAGATGGGTGAAGGGTTCCTGGGTGGTGGAGATGGAAAGGGAAGATGGGTTTAGGGTTCCCCACCATTGGAAAGCCGATGTCAGACATGTTGAGGAGTCAGCTTTCATGTCAAGGATACGACTAGATGCCGGGGCATACTTACTAACCGGTCCTAACCCCACCTGAAGAATCCAAAGCATTCCGAACGATTTCTGGTCAGACGGGCTTCGCGCCTTCCGCCAGGTGGATGAGGAGCAGATGTTCCACCTGAGCCCCGGTGGAGCTTCAGCCCCGGATGAACGCGAGGCTGAGGTGCGGAGTATGTGGCGACATGAGGAATACAGTTCATGATGTGAGGTGAGTGGAATGTCAACAGCTTCAATGGACTTTCATGGGATTGTGTACTTTCTTCCTTGGGGGGTCGATGAAGAATCTCCCATTTACGCCCACTTCCGCCTGCTTTGAGTTTCTTTTGGTAGCAAGCATTCCACCCCTTCAAGCCCATGACAATGGAAGAGGCAGCATATTTTCTTTCCTGCCTTGCCCCTGGGAGCTCGATTTTTTCACTACTGCTGTTTGGACCCGATCAGACTTGGATTTTGTATCAACTCCACTGTTACTTCAGAAGACCAGAGGAATGTCCCATGACATCCCATGATCTGCCCCGGACGTCCGACAGGCTGCGCAGTACATGCCCAGCCGAGCAGATGTCCTTGCCGCGAGGTCGCGGCCTGAGGTTGGAAGCAGAAAAGCTTCAGAAACAGGACTGATGGCATTTGCTTTTGACGGCCTGAGTTGCAACATTTGGATGGGGCAGCATCGGAGCAGCGGACATCATGCTTGTTCTAACTGCACATTGGACGCCTTTGCGGCTTGCGTCAAGGAAAGGACTCCCAAGTCCAGTGCAAAAAGTCCACCAGCGAGATGCAGCCAAAACAGGACACCCACAGGCCTGTGTTTCTCGCAGGTATGTGTACAACTTCGCAGCCGAGCAGAACTACTTTTCGCTGAGCCCGTCGGAGTTGGAGCATGCCATGATCCAGGCATGGGTTTTTAGAAGACATGGGCCAGGGTGACGCATTTGAGTGATGTCTTTTGAGCGTGTTTGGAATCTCTGGAGCCAATGCAGTGATCCGTGGCAGGTCGCTAGATTGACGGGCCAGAAAGTGTAATGTCGAAGATTGAACCTGCTGGCGCCATTTTTCCAAGCCCAGTTCTGTCAGCGTGGCTCTCAGCGCCTGACTCTTGAGCCATCCCTGAGGCCGGTCACAGTGACGTGGAATTTGCCATCCGCCTGCAGAATGCAGCTTGTCCTGTGACGGTGACGGTTGGTGACGGTTGGTGGTGGGGTCAAGGACAACCACCACCTGTGTAGAACGGACTTGATAGGTCTTTGGTCGAACAACTTGTTTGTGCCTAGTTGTGCCCGTGCAAAGCTGTTTATTGGAAGGACAACATCTCCAAGAGCACAGACAACCCACTTGACAGGTCATATGTTGTCCTCTTCATGGAGAAACGCAGTTTCGTAGGAAAGAAAGTGTGCAGAGGTCAGGA